ACCCAAGTGTCCTGTGATCCAAATTCCATCACCCAAATATCCAATGATCCAAATTCCATCACCCAAATATCCTGTGATCCACAAAATTCCATCACCCAAATGTCCAATGACCCACAAAATTCCATCACCCAAGTGTCCAGTGATCCAAATTCTATCACCCAAATATCCAATGATCCAAATTCCATCACCCAAGTGTCCCCTTATCCACAAAATTCCATCACCCAAGTGTCCACTGATCCAAATTCCATCATCCAAATATCCAGTGATCCAAATTCCATCACCCAAATATCCAATCATCCAAATTCCACCACCCAAATATCCAGATTCCATCACCCAAATATCCACTGATCCAAATTCCATCATCCATGCAGAAATTCCCTGCTCCAGGGAAGGAACCTGGGAATTCCCACCTGAGCCTGAGTGAATATAAGGCCTGATGCCTTTTAGTTTCTATATTTTCATGTGTCTGTATTCTTGTATTTCTCCAGTACAGCACTAAAATTATCGTTCTCCCATCTTTAGACAAAATAATTCCTCTCTGAGCCTGAAATCCAAGGACACCTCAGAGCCCCAAAATATGGAAACAACAGAGAATTGGGGGTGGGGAGCAAGTTTGGGGTGGGTGACATCATCACCTGAAGATCATTGGAGAATTAAGACCCAATATTTTAATAAGAACTTTTAAAAGGTGAAAATCTCATGACTCGGGGTCCATTTTGGGTGTAACCTCAGAAGGAGGCTTTGTCTGTCCTAATGTACCAGGGGGCCTGTTAGGCCTGGATTAAAGTTGTCTATTCTCATTCTCTTGAGTTTGTCTGGCCTCTGTTTCAGATTCTCCTGATTTTTAAGGCATCAAACCCTTTCCCAAGCCCTTTCCCAGTTCCCTCAGCCTGATTTTTAAGAAATCAAACCCTTTCCCAGCTGCCTCAGCCTCTCCCCATAGGTCTATTCTCATTCTCTTAAATTTGTCTGGCCTCTGTTTTAGGTAAGCCTGATTTTTAAGGCATCAAACCCTTTCCCAGCTCCCTCAGCCTGATTCTTAAGGCGTCAAGCCCTTTTCCAGGTCTCTCAGCCTAATTTTTAAGGCATTAAACCCTTTCCCAGCTCCCTCAGCCTCTCCCCATAGGTCTATTCTCATTCTATTAAATTTGTCTGGCCTCTGTTTCAGATTCTCCTGATTTTTAAGCCATCAAGCCCTTTCCCAGCTCCCTCAGATTAATTTTAAGGCATCAAAGCCTTTCCCAGCTCCCTCATATAAATTTTTAAGCCATCAAGCCTTTTCCCAGCCCCTCAGCCTGATTTTTAAGGTATCAAACCCTTTCCCAGCCCCTCAGCCTCTCCTCATAGGTCTATTCTCATTCTATTAAATTTGTCTGGCCTCTGTTTCAGATTCTCCTGATTTTTAAGGCATCAAACCCTTTCCAGCTCCCTCAGCCTAATTTTTAAGGCATCAAACCCTTTCCCAAACCCTTTCCCAGCTCCCTCAGCCTGATTTTTAAGGCATCAAACCCTTTCCCAGCTCCCTCAGATTAATTTTTAAGCCATCAAACCCTTTCCAGCTCCCTCACCCTCTCCCTATAGGTCTATTCTCATTCTCTTAATTTTGTCTGGCCTCTATTTTAGGTGAGCCTGATTTTTGAGGCATCAAATCCTTTCCCAAACCCTTTCCCAGCTCCCTCAGCCTGATTTTTAAGGCATCAAACCCTTTCCCAGCTCCCTCAGATTAATTTTTAAGGCATCAAACTCTTTCCCAAACCCTTTCCCAGCTCCCTCAGATTAATTTTTAAGGCATCAAACCCTTTCCAGCTCCCTCAGCCTCTCCCCAAAGGTCTATTCTCATTCTCTAAAATTTGTCTGGCCTCTGTTTCAGATTCTCCTGATTTTTAAGGCACCAAACCCTTTCCCAAACCCTTTCCCAGCTCCCTCAGATTAATTTTTAAGGCATCAAACCCTTTCTCCAGCTCCCTCAACCTCTCCCCATAGGTCTATTCTCATTCTCTTGAGTTTGTCTGGCCTCTGTTTTAGGTGAGCCTGATTTTTAAGGTATCAAACCCTTTCCAGCTCGCTCAGATTAATTTTTAAGGTAAGAAACCCTTTCCAGCTCCCTCAGCCTGATTTTTAAGCCATCAAACCCTTTACCAGCCCCTCGGCCTCTCCCCTTAGGTCTATTCTCATTCTCTTAAATTTGTCTGGCCTCTGTTTTTGGTGAGCCTGATTTTTAATCATCAAACCCTTTCCCAGCTCCCTCAGCCTGATTCTTAAGGTGTCAAGCCCTTT